TTATGTGTTTGGGTATATAAGAAAATTTATAAAAACTGCAAAACTCTTTTTAGTGTGGCCGCACCATTTCAGTCGCTCTGCATCCCTAATAGCACTTGGTACTGACAGATTTTTTTTTTTTAGACATTCTAATAAGTATATAATGGTTGTTGAGGTTTTAAGGAACCTTTCACTAATGACTGATGCTGAAAATCATTTCATGTGTTATTTGTCATCTGTATATCTCCTTTGGTAAAGTGCTCACATGTTTGCTCATTTAAAAATTTGATTGTTTCTTTCCTCATTGTTTAGTATTGAGAGTTCTTTGTATATATTAGCTACATGTCCTGCATCAGATACATGGCTTGCAAATATTTTTCTCCTAGAGTCTTCCTGTCTTTTTTTAGAGAGGGGGCCTTACTTTGTTGCCCAGGCTGGTCTTGAACTCCCAACCTCAAGCAATCTTCAGTCCTCAGTCTTCCAAAGCACTGGGATTACAGGTGTGAGTTACCATCCCTGGTCTATGTCTTTTCATTCTCATAATAGTGTTGTTGGCCGGGCTCAGCAGCTCAGCCTGTAATTCCAGCACTTTGGGAGGCCGAGGTGAATGAATTGCCTGAGCCCGCGGGTTCGAGACTAGCATGGGCAACTTGGTGAGACCTCGTCTCTACAATAAGTTGAAATTTAGACCAGGAGCAGTGACTCTGTCTGTAATCCCAGCACTTTGGGAGGCCAAGGTGAGTTGCCCGAGCCCATAGGTTCGAGACCAGTCTGGGCAACTTGGTGAGACCTCGTCTCTACAATAAATCACAAAAACTAGCCGGGTGTGGTGGCATGCGTCTGTAGTTCCAGCTACTTGGAAGGCTGAGGCAGAAGAATCGCCTGAGCCCAGTAGGTCAAGGCTGCAGTGGCTGTGAGCGTGCCACTGCACTCCAGCCTGGGCAACAGAGTGAGACTCCGACTCAAAAAAAGAAAAAAGAAAGAAAAAAATTAGACAGGTATGGTAGTGCACACCTGTAGTTCCAGCTACTTGGAAGGTGGAGGTAGAAGGATCGCCTGAGCCCAGCCAGTCGATACTGGGGTGGCCATGAGTGTGCTACTGCACTTCAACCTGGGCGATGGAGTGAGACACCAACCCAAAAAAACAAACAAACCAAAAAACAAAACAAAACAAAACAAAAACCCAAACAAACCAATGTTGTCTGCAGAGAAAATGTTTTATTTTTTTAATTTATTTTTTCTTATGAGTGTACTTTTGGCTTTGACTTTATATCAGAAAATTTCCAGCCTGGGATTTTTATATATTAAAAGTAAAATGTATAAAAAACAAAAATAATAAATTCCTTCTAGCAACAGTAGATTATCTATAAATAATACATTAGGCATGTCTCCTAAATATAAAATTAAATAAAAAGATATTAGATAATTTGTGCATAAAGAACCAAATTAGAGTTAGAAATGATGAGACAAGGATCTAATAATACTTTTCAAAAACACAGAACTAAGGTCTTTAAGATTTTGTACAATAAGAGTATGTAAACATATGAAATAAAATGCCTCATGAGGTTTCAAATGCCCATTAATTTATTCATATATTTATTTTAAAATTTTTCTGAACACCTACTATAAGCCAGGCTTTGTTTTCTACTTGGGGGTACACAGATGACTATAATGGGAGACGAAACTTGTGATAAATAAATCAACAGATTACAACACAGTGTGATAAGAACTGTGACTGGCATATGTTCAAAGTGAACCATGCTTCTTTTTGTATGTGTAGTGCTGTTCATCACATTTATCTCAGTTTGAAATCATCTGTTTGTGTGACTACTTGATTTAAAGTCTGTCTGTCTCTTCATGTGCTCCAGGAGTATAAATATAATATATACTTTCATCACTGTACCTGGCATATAGCAGGAACTAGATTAAAAGTCACTGAATAAAAGTGCTTACTACTGAAGTCCAGAAAGGAGGAGTTGCTAATTCTGCTCCTGGCAGTTTTGAAATCTTGACAAAAAAAAAAAAAAAAAAAGGTGAAATTTGAAGTAAGTCTTGAAGCAGAAGTAAAAACTCACTGTTGGAGGCAGGAAAGGGTAGCAAGGAAGAGAAGGATAGCATTCCAGCACTATGAAGTCTTAGGCAAGGACACGTGAAAGTTCATGGATAGAAAGTTGCGTGTGTGGCAGAATCATCCTGCTTAAGGAAGTGTGAGGGTCGAAGATGGGGCCAGAGTGGAAGACTGGGGTTCTCCACAAGAAGAAAAGGACATGCCAACCCAACTGGATTTGAACTTCATAGCTGTGTGTTGGGGGATTGAAGGATTTTAAGCTTGTTGGTTACGTAAGTATATTAGCAGTTCTTAAATAGAGATGATCACACCTGTAATTTCAGCACTTTGGGAGGCCAAGGTGGAAAACTCACCTGAGCACAAGTCCAGGCTGCAGTGAACTATGACCACACCACTATACTCCAACCTGGGTGACACAGTGAGACCCTGTCTCAAAAAAAAAAAAAAAAAAAAAAATGGCCACTGGTGAGTAGAGTGGTTAAAAGCTGTTGCTGAAGCACTGGTAAGACATGATGAAGGTTCAGCAATGGAATACAGTTGCTGAGGAGGGACAGATCTGAGAGCTCTTCTAGGAGACAGATTTATAGGAAGTAGTAATTGATAAGATGCGAAGGGGAAAGTAGAAGGAGAATTGAACATTTTGACTCTTCTGATGTCTCAGGAGTATTGTATGTTGGTAGTGAACATATTTTTTAAAGTTTTTTTCTGATTAATATTACATGTCCTTTAGAAACTTCAGTAAAGTATAAAGAATAACAAAAAAGTCATCCATTATCCCAGCACACAGAGATAAGCACTGCAGACATTTCATGTATATATTCTTCTACTCTTCTTTTAAAATACATTTTTGAAAAAACGATATTTCATCAGGATCACTCTGAGAGATAAAATCACAAGTACAGAAAAAGTATGGCATACATTGGGGCAAAAGATTAAGTACAAATTTTGGAACACAGTTGGACTCTTGTATCTGTAATGTACTAGTTATGTGACTTCGAGGTGTTTAATTTTCCTGACTTTAATTTTGTGATCTTGGAATGGGCATAATAATATCATTCCTTATAGTGGTTGAGAAGATACATATTCTTTATGTAAAATTCCTAGTTTGATTCTTGACCCATAACTAGTCCTAATGGTAATACTGTAGTGGTTAAGTTATTCTGTTAACACTTTCTCCATTGTCTCCTTCTTTGCCCTTGAAAAATATAGACTAATCCTTATTTCTAAAAATAAAAGACACTTTCGAAAACAGGTCCAAAGGATTCCATCTCTACCAAGAACTCTGATCTCATAAAATGTATTGATTGTTAAACTTCATTTTGAATCCAAATACGAAGTTTCAACAAAATTATGCACTAAATCATTTTTTAAAAAAAATAAGTGAATAGGTACAATGAATGGGAAATGCCAAAGAAGAAATTTCTCCCCTGGAAAATAAGTGTCAGTGACGACACACAGGACATGTCCTCATTAGCGAATGAAACCTGCCTAGACACAGGGACACTTCCAGGTTCAATTTAAGCAGGTTCAATTTAATTCATATACAATTCATTCTGAATGCTGAACCTGCTGGAAGACACAGCAGGGCAGCGATCTCCACCTTGAGGGGGCGCTAATTACTTTTTGCCAACTTACACCCTGAGCTTGGGTAAGTCTGTGCACATAAACTAAGAGAAAAACTTGCAAGATCCAGGTGCATTATCGTAGTCCTTTCCAAACAGAGGGACTGGGGAGGGAAGTTTAGCAAAAATGGAGACAAGAATGTTTTTATATTGAGAGGAATAGATTAAGGGGGAAGAGCAGAGGCAGGGAGGAGGAGGGCTAGTGGGAGGAGCTCCAGGAATAGAAAGTCCGAGTTGTAAAGGGGAGGGAGCCTCAGAGATGGACAAATGTCGTCACTGGGCCCGCCGCCCTCGCGAAGGTAGCCCTTGCAGGCCCTGTGCAGGCCGGAGGTGGGGCTGTTGGTTCTGACCTCTGGGACGTACCCGCGGATTCCTCCATCCAGACCTTCCCGGGCACCTTTCCTGGTCACCACGGTTCTCCGCCAGACCCCGGCGCTGCTCAGACAGGGAGGAGAGCAGGGCAAGGCTCCACTTCCAGTCTGAGCCTCTGGATTACAGAGTCCAGGGAAGTCACACGCAATTACAAAAGAAAGAAAATACAAAACCTCCCGAGAGGAGGCAGGGGCATTACTTGGGGGAAAGGGTTTGGCAGAGGGTGGGAGCATTATGCCCCGGGCTTTCCTCATCAAAACCCATAAGCGGATCCCTACTTCCTAAGACCCGCTTCCCTGGCTCTCCGCAACCCGCCCCATCTCCGACTCTCTCCATCCTCTGACCCACAGTCTAGCTCTTCCTTCTCTTGCAAACGCCAAGTTGTCTCCACCTGCCCCGGGTTCGGAGCTCGACTTGTTCTTCAGTCCCAGCTCCGGAGTCCGGGGATTTTGCGGAGCCCAGGGCATGGCTGGGAGTGAGATTTGGCCAGGGCCATTTCTTACTGCCAGGCTTCCCGTCACGCCGCTGCCGGCCGGTGTGAGGCGGGCGACGAAGGAGAGGCGCAGGGGGTCGCACACAGGAAGGAACCGGTGCAACCTGAGCAAACACTGCTCGCTTTGAACCCTCCCTGGGAACAGGCTTCCCGGGCAAGTCCCAAATTCCCACGTTCCGCTCACCCCGCGGACTAGAGCGTGGCGCGGGGACGCCCCACCTGCGCTGGGGGCGGCAGGCTCCTGCGGGCCGGAGTTTGCAGACTTGGCGCTTCGGCGGATTCCCCGGGAGTCGGGGTAGCGCGCGCCGGGCCAATGAGCGTGCCCCGCGGAGGGCTCGGCTCCCCCCGCGCGCGCTGATTGGTCCCGCGG